TGTGGGTGTGTATTTACTGTCTGTGGGTGTGTATTTACTGTCTGTGGGTGTGTATTTACTGTCTGTGGGTGTGTATTTACTGTCTGTGGGTGTGTATTTACTGTCTGTGGGTGTGTATTTACTGTCTGTGGGTGTGTATTTACTGTCTGTGGGTGTGTATTTACTGTCTGTGGGTGGGTATTTACTGTCTGTGGGTGGGTATTTACTGTCTGTGGGTGGGTATTTACTGTCTGTGGGTGGGTATTTACTGTCTGTGGGTGGGTATTTACTGTCTGTGGGTGTGTATTTACTGTCTGTGGGTGTGTATTTACTGTCTGTGGGTGGGTATTTACTGTCTGTGGGTGGGTATTTACTGTCTGTGGGTGGGTATTTACTGTCTGTGGGTGGGTATTTACTGTCTGTGGGTGGGTATTTACTGTCTGTGGGTGGGTATTTACTGTCTGTGGGTGGGTATTTACTGTCTGTGGGTGGGTATTTACTGTCTGTGGGTGGGTATTTACTGTCTGTGGGTGGGTATTTACTGTCTGTGGGTGTGTATTTACTGTCTGTGGGTGGGTATTTACTGTCTGTGGGTGGGTATTTACTGTCTGTGGGTGGGTATTTACTGTCTGTGGGTGGGTATTTACTGTCTGTGGGTGGGTATTTACTGTCTGTGGGTGGGTATTTACTGTCTGTGGGTGGGTATTTACTGTCTGTGGGTGGGTATTTACTGTCTGTGGGTGTGTATTTACTGTCTGTGGGTGTGTATTTACTGTCTGTGGGTGTGTATTTACTGTCTGTGGGTGTGTATTTACTGTCTGTGGGTGGGTATTTACTGTCTGTGGGTGTGTATTTACTGTCTGTGGGTGTGTATTTACTGTCTGTGGGTGTGTATTTACTGTCTGTGGGTGTGTATTTACTGTCTGTGGGTGTGTATTTACTGTCTGTGGGTGTGTATTTACTGTCTGTGGGTGGGTATTTACTGTCTGTGGGTGTGTATTTACTGTCTGTGGGTGTGTATTTACTGTCTGTGGGTGTGTATTTACTGTCTGTGGGTGGGTATTTACTGTCTGTGGGTGTGTATTTACTGTCTGTGGGTGTGTATTTACTGTCTGTGGGTGTGTATTTACTGTCTGTGGGTGTGTATTTACTGTCTGTGGGTGTGTATTTACTGTCTGTGGGTGTGTATTTACTGTCTGTGGGTGTGTATTTACTGTCTGTGGGTGTGTATTTACTGTCTGTGGGTGTGTATTTACTGTCTGTGGGTGTGTATTTACTGTCTGTGGGTGTGTATTTACTGTCTGTGGGTGTGTATTTACTGTCTGTGGGTGTGTATTTACTGTCTGTGGGTGTGTATTTACTGTCTGTGGGTGTGTATTTACTGTCTGTGGGTGTGTATTTACTGTCTGTGGGTGTGTATTTACTGTCTGTGGGTGTGTATTTACTGTCTGTGGGTGTGTATTTACTGTCTGTGGGTGTGTATTTACTGTCTGTGGGTGTGTATTTACTGTCTGTGGGTGTGTATTTACTGTCTGTGGGTGGGTATTTACTGTCTGTGGGTGGGTATTTACTGTCTGTGGGTGTGTATTTACTGTCTGTGGGTGGGTATTTACTGTCTGTGGGTGGGTATTTACTGTCTGTGGGTGTGTATTTACTGTCTGTGGGTGTGTATTTACTGTCTGTGGGTGTGTATTTACTGTCTGTGGGTGTGTATTTACTGTCTGTGGGTGTGTATTTACTGTCTGTGGGTGTGTATTTACTGTCTGTGGGTGTGTATTTACTGTCTGTGGGTGTGTATTTACTGTCTGTGGGTGTGTATTTACTGTCTGTGGGTGTGTATTTACTGTCTGTGGGTGTGTATTTACTGTCTGTGGGTGTGTATTTACTGTCTGTGGGTGTGTATTTACTGTCTGTGGGTGTGTATTTACTGTCTGTGGGTGTGTATTTACTGTCTGTGGGTGTGTATTTACTGTCTGTGGGTGTGTATTTACTGTCTGTGGGTGTGTATTTACTGTCTGTGGGTGTGTATTTACTGTCTGTGGGTGTGTATTTACTGTCTGTGGGTGTGTATTTACTGTCTGTGGGTGTGTATTTACTGTCTGTGGGTGTGTATTTACTGTCTGTGGGTGTGTATTTACTGTCTGTGGGTGTGTATTTACTGTCTGTGGGTGTGTATTTACTGTCTGTGGGTGTGTATTTACTGTCTGTGGGTGTGTATTTACTGTCTGTGGGTGTGTATTTACTGTCTGTGGGTGTGTATTTACTGTCTGTGGGTGTGTATTTACTGTCTGTGGGTGTGTATTTACTGTCTGTGGGTGTGTATTTACTGTCTGTGGGTGTGTATTTACTGTCTGTGGGTGTGTATTTACTGTCTGTGGGTGTGTATTTACTGTCTGTGGGTGTGTATTTACTGTCTGTGGGTGTGTATTTACTGTCTGTGGGTGTGTATTTACTGTCTGTGGGTGTGTATTTACTGTCTGTGGGTGTGTATTTACTGTCTGTGGGTGTGTATTTACTGTCTGTGGGTGTGTATTTACTGTCTGTGGGTGTGTATTTACTGTCTGTGGGTGTGTATTTACTGTCTGTGGGTGTGTATTTACTGTCTGTGGGTGTGTATTTACTGTCTGTGGGTGTGTATTTACTGTCTGTGGGTGTGTATTTACTGTCTGTGGGTGTGTATTTACTGTCTGTGGGTGTGTATTTACTGTCTGTGGGTGTGTATTTACTGTCTGTGGGTGTGTATTTACTGTCTGTGGGTGTGTATTTACTGTCTGTGGGTGTGTATTTACTGTCTGTGGGTGTGTATTTACTGTCTGTGGGTGTGTATTTACTGTCTGTGGGTGTGTATTTACTGTCTGTGGGTGTGTATTTACTGTCTGTGGGTGTGTATTTACTGTCTGTGGGTGTGTATTTACTGTCTGTGGGTGTGTATTTACTGTCTGTGGGTGTGTATTTACTGTCTGTGGGTGTGTATTTACTGTCTGTGGGTGTGTATTTACTGTCTGTGGGTGTGTATTTACTGTCTGTGGGTGTGTATTTACTGTCTGTGGGTGTGTATTTACTGTCTGTGGGTGTGTATTTACTGTCTGTGGGTGTGTATTTACTGTCTGTGGGTGTGTATTTACTGTCTGTGGGTGTGTATTTACTGTCTGTGGGTGTGTATTTACTGTCTGTGGGTGTGTATTTACTGTCTGTGGGTGTGTATTTACTGTCTGTGGGTGTGTATTTACTGTCTGTGGGTGTGTATTTACTGTCTGTGGGTGTGTATTTACTGTCTGTGGGTGTGTATTTACTGTCTGTGGGTGTGTATTTACTGTCTGTGGGTGTGTATTTACTGTCTGTGGGTGTGTATTTACTGTCTGTGGGTGTGTATTTACTGTCTGTGGGTGGGTATTTACTGTCTGTGGGTGTGTATTTACTGTCTGTGGGTGTGTATTTACTGTCTGTGGGTGTGTATTTACTGTCTGTGGGTGTGTATTTACTGTCTGTGGGTGTGTATTTACTGTCTGTGGGTGTGTATTTACTGTCTGTGGGTGTGTATTTACTGTCTGTGGGTGTGTATTTACTGTCTGTGGGTGTGTATTTACTGTCTGTGGGTGTGTATTTACTGTCTGTGGGTGTGTATTTACTGTCTGTGGGTGTGTATTTACTGTCTGTGGGTGTGTATTTACTGTCTGTGGGTGTGTATTTACTGTCTGTGGGTGTGTATTTACTGTCTGTGGGTGTGTATTTACTGTCTGTGGGTGTGTATTTACTGTCTGTGGGTGTGTATTTACTGTCTGTGGGTGTGTGTATTGTATTTGTGGTGTGTATTTACTGTCTGTGTGTGTTATTTACTGTCTGTGGGTGTGTATTTACTGTCTGTGGGTGTGTATTTACTGTCTGTGGGTGTGTATTTACTGTCTGTGGGTGTGTATTTACTGTCTGTGGGTGTGTATTTACTGTCTGTGGGTGTGTATTTATTTGTGTGTTTTTACTGTCTGTGGGTGTGTATTTACTGTCTGTGGGTGTGTATTTACTGTCTGTGTGTGGTATTTACTGTCTGTGGGTGTGTATTTACTGTCTGTGGGTGTGTATTTACTGTCTGTGGGTGTGTATTTACTGTCTGTGGGTGTGTATTTACTGTCTGTGGGTGTGTATTTACTGTCTGTGGGTGTGTATTTACTGTCTGTGGGTGTGTATTTACTGTCTGTGGGTGTGTATTTACTGTCTGTGGGTGTGTATTTACTGTCTGTGGGTGTGTATTTACTGTCTGTGGGTGTGTATTTACTGTCTGTGGGTGTGTATTTACTGTCTGTGGGTGTGTATTTACTGTCTGTGGGTGTGTATTTACTGTCTGTGGGTGTGTATTTACTGTCTGTGGGTGTGTATTTACTGTCTGTGGGTGTGTATTTACTGTCTGTGGGTGTGTATTTACTGTCTGTGGGTGTGTATTTACTGTCTGTGGGTGTGTATTTACTGTCTGTGGGTGTGTATTTACTGTCTGTGGGTGTGTATTTACTGTCTGTGGGTGTGTATTTACTGTCTGTGGGTGTGTATTTACTGTCTGTGGGTGTGTATTTACTGTCTGTGGGTGTGTATTTACTGTCTGTGGGTGTGTATTTACTGTCTGTGGGTGTGTATTTACTGTATTTACTGTCTGTGGGTGTGTATTTACTGTCTGTGGGTGTGTATTTACTGTCTGTGGGTGGGTATTTACTGTCTGTGGGTGGGTCCGGTCAGGAGGAGGAGGAGAACCCCCCAGCAATCATGCTCTGTGCCAGTGGGTCTGCATGCTGCCTACTGCCTTTCAAACCAAACCCATCCCCAAGAGGCGCAGCAACGCATGCTCGCCCTTCACTCCCCTCTCCCGCCCTCCTCCCCCTTTACACGAAGCCAGTGTGGGCAGCAAGGAAAGCTACTCGTTTGAGGAGGATATTGCCAAAGCCACAGGCGCCATTCCCCTCACCTTCGACCCATTCATTTCCCACGAGACCCTTCCCTTCCCCTCCTGTTCATCCCTTTCCCCTCGTGCAAGCCAGTGTGGGCAGCAAGGAAAGCTACTCGTTCGAGGAGGATATTGCCAAAGCCACGGGCGCCGTACCGCTCACCTTCGACCCATTCATTCCCCAAGGGGCGCAGCAACGCATGCTCGCCCTGCCCTTCCTTCGCTACTTCCCCGAAGGCCTCTCGGGCAGAGTGAAACTTTTGAAGAACAGGAAGATGTTCCCGAACTACACCTTTTCGACCCTGCCCGAGGTGAGAGGCAGACAGGTGAACTACCTTTTAAATCAATGCTTTATCGGGGGGTGTTTTTCTGCCCGCCATTTATCAAGGGTGCTCAATTTTACTGACACTCGTGCAGGTTGTGGCTGCACGTTTCTCAGAGGAGAGCCTCTTCTAGCCCCTTCAGAGGGTGATTAGGGCCAAACCGGGGGTTCAGCCCCTTCTAGCAGCATTCGTTTCCTCCTGTACTTCTTCATTCCCCACCCTCTCCTCTTCCACCTCCTCAGCTCATGGCCACGCACAGCACTGACTACATGGATGTGCTCAAGATAGACTGCGAGGGGGCACTCCCTTGTTACCTCACCCCACTCCTTTCTCCATTCCCCACCCCCTTCTCTCCCCCCCCTCCTCCCCCCAGCTCATGGCCACGCACACCACAGACTACATGGATGTGCTCAAGATAGACTGCGAGGGGTGTGAGATTGAGACGTTCCGAGGTGAAGGGGTTAAAAAGGGGTTCCTCTTCTTAACCCTCTCTTTTCCTCTTCGGTTCTCCTTTTAATTTCACCCCTTCTCACCCCCCAGCTCATGGCCGCTCATAAAACTGACTACATGGATGTGCTCAAGATAGACTGCGAGGGGTGCGAGATGGAGATGATTCGAGACGTCGAGTAAAGGAATTCTCTTATCCCCCCCTCCCCTTTCTTCACCCCTTCTCCTCCCCCTCTCACAGCTCATGGCCACACACAAGACGGACTACATGGATGTTCTCAAGATAGACTGCGAGGGGTGTGAGATTGAGATGATTCGAGACCTTGAGCAGGCCATGGGGATGGGGGGGTCCGACCCCCTTCTTACCCCCCTCTTTTCCCCTTCTCCCTTGTCTTCACCCTTTCCCCCCTCAGCTCATGGCTGCTCATAAGACTGACTACATGGATGTGCTCAAGATAGACTGCGAGGGGTCACTCCCTTGTTACCCACTCTCTCTCCGTTCCGCTCCCCCTTCTCCTTCCCCTCTCCCAGCTCATGTCAGCTCACAACACGGACTACATGGATGTTCTCAAGATAGACTGTGAGGGGTGTGAGATTGAGATGATCCGAGACTTGGAGCAGGCCATGGGGGGAGATTCCGGGGCCGGGCTTGTGCGGTTTGGAGGGAAGCTTCCCTTCGGCCAGCTGCTGGTGGAGTTTCACAAGTGAGTGTTCTTTCTTCTTGCCCCCACTAAGCTTTGCTTTAGAATCTTGCGTGGTACAGTGTATTGAATCGACCTTCCGAGAATCTTGGTGTGCGGTCCACACCACATCCAAGATAGACTGCGAGGGGTGTGAGATCGAGATGATCCGAGACTTGGAGCAGGCGATGGGGAAGAGGGGAGAGGAGATGGTCCTACTTCTGAGAATTTTGGTGTTCTTTCAACATCTGAGAATCTTGGCCCAGGGTGTGAGATTGAGATGATTCGAGACCTGGAGCAGGCCATGGGGGGAGATTCCAGGGCCGGGCTTGTGAGGTTCGGAGGGAAGCTTCCCTTTGGCCAGCTGCTAGTGGAGTTTCACAAGTGAGTGTTTTGTTTTTCCGCTGATTAAATGTACATATCTCTACGCCAACTTATGTCTTGGTGTTGTGGTCTTTTACATCTCTTTTTACGCGTTCCCCCGCTTGTCCTCCCAGACTCCTTGTCCCTTATATCTATCCACCCTACCCTACTATTACAAGATCCACGTTCCCAAAGTCACACTACCCCTCATCTACACAATTGAGAACCTCGGTTACCGCATTTTCCACGTGGAAACAGCGGCTTCACACTTTCTATCTTTTACTCCCCGCCTTCTCTCTTCCACACCCCCTTATACCCGTCCTGTCGATACAGGAACCACATTGAAATCACACTACCTCTCATCTATGCATTTCCATGTTACAACGTGCACTCACTCTCTCTCCCCTGCTCCCTTCTCTCTCCACCCTCCCTTTTCCCCTCCCCCACAGGATCCATGTTCCTAAAGTCACGCTGCCGCTCATCTACGCAATCGAGAATCTTGGATACCGTATTTTCCACATCGAGATGAACCCTCTCTGTTCCAAGTGTATGGAGGTGAGCTTTATACACGAGAGCCTGGTGCAGCCCTCTAAGGAGGATGCCTGTTATGTGGATGATGGCAACGGGGGTAGTACCACTACCAGCAGCGGCGGTGGTGACGGTGGCACCGGCGGCGACGGTGGCAGCGGCGGTGGTGGCAGTGGCAATGGCAGCAGCAGTGACGACGGCAATGGCAGTAACAACAGTGAAAAGCCAGAAATGCAAGTCCAGAAGGAACAGCAGCAACCGGAAATCCAGCAGCAGCAGAAGGATATTGGGCAAGAACAGCAGTCTCAGCAAGAGCAGCAGGGAGGCAAGTGAGGAAGGGTTGCTGAGAAATAAGCAGGAATAATTCGGAGCCACTTCCAGAATTGCTTTCCATTCCATCCTCCCAGCATCCACCTTTGTAGTGTATTTAAGTTGTGTTCTGGTCAGTACAGCACTAGAGAAAGTATATGGCATAGTTGGAATTGGCTTGTTATTATCAAAATAGAAAAAAAAGTATTTTGCAAAAGCTTGGGGTGTAGAGCATGGCTCAGACTATCCTAATCCCATGATATTGCTATTAAGCATACATGCAGGTGCTACCCTATAAACATGCTTCTACGCTTAGCCAAATTAGCATTTTGTGCAGTAAGCATACACTCACACGACCAAACCTGTTGCTAAACTTTGCCGAAATGGCAGCGATATGAACACAACTGAGCCTACAACAGAGAAAAAGCTATCAGCTTTGACTACATGTGCTGCTTGTGCTCTGTAGAGCACTGCTTTTCTTGGGGGAACTGTTGAATTGCCTGGTAGGCTTCCTTCCTTTCCCACTTGGCTACAGCCTTCTTTCGAGGCGTCTCAAATATTCACTCACACTCTTTTGAGACGTGTCGAAAATTCACTCGTGTCACTCTGCCCACTTTGCCACAGCCTTCCTGAGTGACCTCCATCGAGCCAGTTGCTTTGCTTGCAACCCCTTTAACTGCATTCTCTTCACAAAACAGCAGCCACATACAGCACCCCTCATCCCCACATCCCCTCCCCTCCCTCCCCCGCATCTAACATTCCCCGCTTCAAAAGAACAGCACTGCAACGGATATATCATCTCTGGAGTTGGCGTGCTTCTCTGTTGCCCACTTGGCCACTGCCTTTTGAGCCACCTGCTTTGCCGCAGCAATCAACCCTCCACTCCGCCCCATCCCCCGCCCCTCCGTCCCCTCTTTAGAAGAACAGCACTGCAACGGATATATCATCTCTGGAGTTGGCGTGCTTCTCTGTTGCCCACTTGGCTACGGCCTTCTGAGCCACCTGCTTCGCTGCTTTGCTCCTGGGCCATGTGTTTGCTACGATCTCCACCACCTCTGCGTTCGACAGCACGTCCCACACCTGTGTGGGTGGAGAGGGGAGGAGGGGGTTGGAGGGGGGTTGTGGGAGGCTGTGGGTTGTGGGTGGTAGTGAGCAGTTAGAGCATTATTCCATGAGCCATCTGCTTTGCTGCTTTGCTCCTGGGCCATGTGTTTGCCACTATCTCAACCACCTCTGCGTTCGACAGCACGTCCCACACCTGTGTGGGTGGAGAGCTGTGTGGTGCCATTGTAACGAGGTGACTTTTGAGTCGACAGAACAGATTTTCTCGTCATCGTCGTCCTACGGTGCTCGCTGCTTCTCGGCGTCCACTTTGAAAGTGGACTCGCATCCCAACAGACTCTCTAAAAATGTTGACCGTTAGAGAGTCTGTTGGGATGCGAGAGAAGTCGAACACGCCGTGACCACCCGCCACGCGCCGCTTGATGGGCGTGGTGAGACCAATTCGTTCACGCTCTTGTACCCGCCAGATCTGGACGACCAGCTGCGGGGAGGCTCAATTACACAGACATTGTGATCCCACGCTTTGCTCTCGATCCGCTCCATGTAACCTTCAAAGCAATCTTCCATTTCCGCCGACGTGTGCCAGAAGATTGGAACCTGAGCCCCGGCCATCGCTATAGTCAGTCGCTTAAAACAGTGTGTATTCATCATTTTGAAGCTCACTTCTATCCCCGGCCCGTAGGACTTGCTCATTGCAGAATGACTATCGGAACAGAATGACTGCAACCCACTTACCCCATCAAAAAGCCATGACCACGAACTGGTCATTGGGGTCAATGCTGCGCACGGTCACAATCCGGCGCAGATGAGCCCGTGGGACTTTCTCTGCCCAGCAAGGACATGTACCCTTTCAGAACAGAATGAACAACAGACAAAACTACTCACCCCATCCGAAGCCATGACATCAAACTGGTCGTTGGGATCTATGCTCCTCACAGTCACATCCGGCCGGCAGATGAGCCCGTGGGACTTGTTGTGCCTAGGGAAGGACTTGCTGTGGATCGATCAGAATTGAATCAAAGAAGCACTCACCCCGTCTGAACCCATGACCACGAACAGGTCGTTCGGGTCTATGCTGCGAACAGTCACATCTGGCCGTCAGATGAGCCCGTCTCTGCCCAGCAAGGACATGTACCGTTTCGGAACAGAATGAACAACAGACAAAACCACTCACCCCATCGGAACCCATGACCACGAACTGGTCGTTCGGGTCTAAAGTGCGCACAGTCACATCCGGCCGGCAGATGAGCCCGTGCGTCTTGCTCTGCCCAGAGGAGGACTTGCTGTGAATCGAACACAACTGAATGAAATGACTCACCCCATCGGAACCCATGACAACGAACTGGTCGTTGGGGTCTATGCTGCGAACAGTCACATCAGGCCGGCAGATGAGCCTGTGGGACTTGTGTTTAAGGTCTCCAAGCAGTAACGTCAATTCGACCTAAGAGCCCATGTGCTTTGCTGCTGGATCCTAATGGGGAACTTACAACGAAGAGACCACTCACCCCATCGGAACCCATGACGACGAACTGATCGTTGGGGTCTATACTGCGAACAGTAACATCGGGCCGGCAGATGAGCCCATGGGACTTGAGCTCAAAGTCTCCAAAGGCACGCGCCACTGCCAGCCCTGGCTCGCTCTTCCCTGGCAGGAAGATTCTGTCGATGGTGTTCATGTAGTTGAGCACCTTGCCTCCCGCCTCCTGCACCCGTGCCTTCTCAGCTGCGGTAAGGGAGGAGGACGATGAGAGAGGCAGGGAGGAGCGGGGTGAGAGAGTGAAAAGGGAGGAAGATTTAGTGGACGGTGTTGAAATGGTGAGCAGCGAGTGGGGAAGGGCGGTTTGAGCTCAAAGTCTCCAAAGGCGTGCGCCACTGCCAGCCCCGGCTCGCTCTTCCCTGGCAGGAAGATTCTGTCGATGGTGTTCATGTAGTTGAGCACCTTGCCTCCCGCCTCCTGCACTCGCACCTTCTCAGCTGGCAGCCAAGTGGGGGAAAGGGGGAAGAAGGGTGAAGGGGAAGGAGAGAGGTGGGGAGGAGGGGGATGAGAGAGGGAAAAGGGAGGGGGATTCAGTGGACGGGGTTGAGATGGTTGAGCAGCAAGGGGGAAGGGTGATTTGAGTTCATAGTCCCCAAAGGTGCGCTGCACTCGTGCCTTCTCAGCTACAGCACAAGGGGGGTGCAGGAAGGGAAGGAACAGGGGGTGCATTGTGGAGGAGGGGATGAAGGCGGGAAGATTCTGTCCATGGTGTTCATGTAAGTGAGCACCTTGCCTCCTGCCTCCTGCACTCGCGCCTTCTCAGCTGCAGTAAGGGATGGACAAGATGGGATGGAGAGGAGAGGGTTGAGAGACAAAGCAGGAAGATTCTGTCGATGGTGTTCATGTAGGTGAGCACCTTGCCTCCTGCCTCTTGCACTCGCACCTTCTCAGCTGCAGCAAATCTGAAGGTCCAAGAGCTGAGGGGGAAGGAGGGGGAAGGAACGGGGATGAGGGAAGGAAAGGGGCGAGAGGTGTGGGGAGAGAAAAGGAAGCAGGGTTTATCAACGGTGTTAATGTGATTGAGAACCTTGAATCCTGTTGAGCACATTGGCTTTTCTTTTTTCCTGTACTCTAAGTTTCCTACCCTCGTGCTCAGCTGGTTGCATCTGGGTTGCTTGCCTTGTGGTCGACGGTCAGCTGAACTGCCTCAATGGTCGCTGCATCACAGACCATAATCCCTCCCCCTACACCCTTTCCCCCCATCCTGCTCCTCCCACCACACCCACATTCTCTCACCTGGGTTGCTGGCCTTGTGGTCGATGGTCAGTTGAACTGCCTCCATGGTCGCTGCATCGTTCTTCCCATTCGGACCCCTGGCAATGCGAGCGAGCACACAGCGCGAGTCCCCTATGTGTGCCACTATCAGCTCCGAGCCCTGAAAAGGGGGGCACAGTGGAGTGTGAGTGTGGGTGGGGTAAGGACGACATGTGGTGAGGAGAAGGAGCTCTGGCAGTGCGAGGAAGCACACAGCGTGAGTCCCCTGTGTGCGCCACTATCAGCTCCGAGCCCTGAGATACAAAAACGGGGCGAGGGAAAAAGGGGGAATGCAGTGAGGAAAGATGATCTCTGGCAATGCGAGCAAGCACACAGCGCGAGTCCCCTATGTGCGCCACTATGCGCTCCGATCCCTGAGGTAAAGAAGGGGAGGAGGGGAAAGGGGCGGTGGGGCGTGAGCAGGGAACGTGGAGGAAGAAATGCCCTGGCATCGCGAGCGAGCACATAGTGCGAGTCCCCTATGTGCGCCACTATATAAGCTCCGATCCCTGGAATTGGAGAGAAGGGGAGGGAAAGAAAGGTAGGGTGCGGTGGTGAGGGGTAACGTGAGGTCTGGCTGCATAATTCTTCCGTTGGGAGCCCTGGCAATGTGAGCGAGCACACAACAGAAATCACCTATGTGTGCCACTATTAATTCCGACCATCCCTGAAATGATGGTTGGGGAGGGGTGGTAAAGGGGGAGTGCAACAAGGGAAGGAAGCTCTGGCAATGTGAGCGAGCACACAACAGAAATCACCTATGTGTGCCACTATTAATTCCGATCCCTGGGGAAGGAAGGGAAGGGGGAGCAGGACAGTAGTGGGGGGAGGGAGGGATGGGGCCGGGAGGGAGTTGCATCGAGGAAGGACCAGGAGGGTGGGGATGCGGTAAGAAAAAGAGGCCTTGACAGCGCGGGTCAGCACACAGCGCGAGTTCCCCATGTGTGCCACTATCAAATCCGAGCCCTAAGAAAGAATCCCACCCACCCCAGCCACCTGCAACCGGCCAGAGCATCAGAGTGATGATCCACTCGCAAGCCCGAGACATGAGCAGAGACAAAGGTGACTCACGAGGCGGAGGGCGACGACAGCAGTGGAACCACTGTCCCTGTTGTGGAACAGGTCCTTCCTCAGCTCCTCATCGATATCCCCAAACACGCCCCCAAACACCCGCGCCCACACGTCCCTAGCTGCAGCCCCGTCCACGTGTGCTAGTTCATTCTGGGTGTGCTGCACGGCTGCATTGAGTCGCTCTGGCAGCTGGTCGCGAGCTGTCTTGGACACGTAGTGCCCGGATAGACCGTGCCCGTCAAACACCCCCACCAGCGCACTGCCTCTTTCCCCAGTTGTGCTTGTGACTATCAGGTTCTGCGGGCGGGGTGGTGGGGCGTGGGGTGGGGTGGGGGGTTCATATACGTGGGTTTGGGAGAATGGGGCGCCCACACCACACGTCCCTAGCTGCAGCCCCGTCCATGTGGGCTAGTTCGTGCTGGGTGTGCTGCACGGCTGCGTTGAGTCGCTCTGGCAGCTGGTCGCGCGCTGTCTTGGACACGTAGTGGCCCGGGAGGGTAAGGGGGCGTGGGGAGGGTTGGGAGAGGTGGGAGGATGGGGGGATGGGAGGATGGGGTGTTCACACATTGCGAAGCACCTTGCTGACATTTTTTTTCTGGTTCCTCACTGGGTAGTGCTGCATCTTGACACACACGCCCTTGCTCCCCCCCCATAGCTCCCCGTACACGATTAAGCATGGTGACCTTTCTGACCTCTGTAAGGCAAGTCCTGGACCTTGACATACTGTCTTTGCGATGGATGTGAGTATACAGGCTTTCTGTAAGACAAGTGCTGAATCTTGACATACACCCTGCGATCAGCACAAGGAGACGGCAGCTGCGGGACAACACCCACACACAGCCTTGACTATTCTGTGGCAATTGTTAGGTCTTGACGAGCTGTCGTGCCTTCGATTGAAGAAATACCCACACTGTTGAATCTACCGACTTTCCTGATTTCTGTGAGGCAGGCTGACATCTTAACATAAACCCTCTACTCCCAAAAGGCTGAACTTGGCATGCACCCTTTGATCAAGACAAGCGAGACCACAGTTTTGGTGCAGCGCCTGGCACTTGAGCACAGCACACACTTTTGCGTCTTTACTTGTGTGATGAGATAATTTTTGAGTCGACCCAAATATTTCAGCGCCTGGCACTTGAGTACAACACACACTTTTGCGTCTTTACTTTCCTCACCTCTGTGGCAAGTGCTGCGTCTTGACATACGCCCTTGAGGCCGGGCTGCCCAAAGATCACCGAGTTCTTGGTGGGCCTTGGCAAAGCAGTACGAGACAACACTCACACTTCTGACTTTCCTCGCCTCCGGCAAGTTCTGGGCTGAGTCTTCGACGTACGCCCTTTGAATAACGCAGTTGCGGGACACCATCCACACTGTGTCTTTCCTCTCCTCTGTGGCAAGTGCTGTGCCTTAACACACGCAGTTTCGGTTCAACACAGTTGCTCCACCCCACTGACCCTTCTCACCTCTGTGGCAAGTGCGGCGTCTTGACATACGCCCTTGAGGCCGGGCTGCACAAAGATCACCGAGTTCTTGGTGGACCCTGGCGAAGGGCATTTGGGAGAAAGGAACGAGTAAGATGAGATGGATTGATCTTCAGTTGGAGTATGTTAATTTGAGCCTGGACGGACACAGGACAAGGAAAGCGAGACGCAATTGAGAAGGAGACAACAGTGCTGAAGTATCAGCCCACTCGGATTGAAACAGCATCGATTCTTGCCATCAAAATTAGCGTCAATTGGTTGTAAGAGCGGAAGAATCATTTGTAGTGATTGATCGTGGCGTAATGGCATTTATGTGCTGTGTAAAAGGTAACAGATGCCTCACCTACGTCTTTGATGATAACCCCGTCTTTAGATGATCCGTTTCCCATGGTGAACGAAGAATCGTCAGCTCTGACTCGAGTAGGGCAAATCAGACTATACACCAGCAGACTGAGAGGATAGTCCTTACAGCAGAGCGTCAAGTGACGATGCTAATAACGACTGCTGAGATTGTAATTTTCTATGATCATGGGTCAAAGATGGCTGTAATGTTTTTTACGAAACGTGGAATTGAACATAGCCCAAATCTCTGCAGAAATTTTCGGAAGGTCTCAAGCCAGTAGTCTCTGGGGGGACGAGCTCCGGGGAATAAATGATGGGCTGAAGCGTACGGAAGGATGTGGTTCCAGGAGTTGCTGGGTGAGCAAGGACACAGAAGAACGGAGAAAACAGGCGACAGACATAAGGAAGCAATAGTCGGGGATCGCTCAATGTCAATAATAAAGATAATAATCTATGTCAAGGAAATTTGAGCCTGAGCTTGTCGAGGACAGCGACTGTTGAAAAAGGAAGCAGATTCGCGAAGAAAGGTCGAGTGAGCTGAGACGCAATGCGTGTGAAATCCATGCACACAAAAGCGAACTAAAACTGATCGAAGAGGAAGTTGACTCCGACATGCCACGCGTTAAAAAACTCTTAAAGACGTGACTGGTACAGCGTTCATTGAATCTAAGAATAGGTATACGCAAGATACGCACCGGCTAGAAGCAACAAATAGTCTTTCAGTCCGCGCAGGATTCAAGCACTCTAACTACAAAAGGCACTAAGACCTTGACGATTCTCCTGGGACTAAGAGATTGCGCAGTAGCGTTGGAAAGAGACGTCCGTGATCTAAATCCACTCCACGCAGCGGTGCGGTTAGACGTATTGCACAAAATTATCCTTCCAGACGTTGATAATAAACTAAGATGCTCACATTGTCCATAGACCTAGAAAACTCCGATTTCAACTCAGCTCACCGTCCCCCCAAATGCTCCCGGTAAGGTCAAGGTCGTTTTTGTCGCACAAGGTCGCAGAGGAGGCTCTGGTGGTCGCGCAGAGCTTTCCACATTCTTGCTCCTTGAAAGGCATCGCAGAGTCTCCTCCACCACAAGGTCCACGGGTTGTCGTCCGGAAGCCGGCCGGTCGGTCGCAGAAACGAAAGCGGGGTCCTCATTCGCCGAACTTGGGTCAAAGACGAGTCAGCTTCCGTGCCGTGCCCTCGCGGATTCTCCCTGCGAGATTGACGAAACCCAGTCAGCGTGCGGTGTGCTTGACTTTTGTGACTGGCCAATGTGAACAGTCGGTTAGCGAAGACACATATCCCTCGTCCGAAACCGTTGGCACCTCATTGGTAGCTGATATTCGCACAAGCGTTTCCAATTGGTCAGCCGTCGCTTTACCAGGCCCCGAGGCTCAGCTGAATGCTCCGTAAAGACATAAATTGATTTTATGACAAACAGAACAATTAAGATTATCCCAGGGCCTAGCTGCAACGGTGCAAACAAACGCATACAAAATTACAAAGCTGTAACTTTGATTGTATTGGTGCATACCAGCCTATCACTTGTGGATGGCATGCTTTGGTGAATAGTTCCCACGTTTACAGCTAGCCACAACGAAGAACGGCTATCGACGTTGGATTGAACTGCTTACGCACTTCCATCACCATCATCAAACACCATCACTACGGAAAATGCTGCTACCGTTGCTGCTGCCAGGGCCACTGCGCTGCTGTCATTTTCAGCACTGCAGCCGCGCTCTCGCTCCCCCCCCCCCCCTCTCCCCCCCCCTGCCCTGCCAGGCAGCCACCGCACCACATACTCAGAGACCACAGTAGCACAGCAAGTTGGGGTTGGGTTGACCTACGCACGACTTACGCACCATCATCCCCTCCCCCTTCCTCTTCCCCTTCTTTACCTCCGTCCCCTTCCCCTCCCCCTCCCCCTTCCCCTCCCCCTTCCCCTTCTCCCCCTCCCCCTTCCCCTCCCCCTTCCCCTTCCCCTTCCCCTCCCCCTTCCCCTCTTCCTGCCCATCCCCCTCCTCCTCCTGGCAGCCACTGGGCAACATAGTCGGAAACCTTAGACCGCCTCAAGACCCCCCCGCAGTCAAGGCTGAGCGGAGGCACAACCAGGTCTTCGTGTATAAAGGCCACCTCGATGCACGAGTAGCACAGCGGGTTGGGCTCCACATGGAACATGCGGTACCCCATGCCCTCCATGGCGTAGAGATAGGGCAGGGACTGCTGGGGTTTATGCATTCTGTGATAGTAGAGGGAGGGAGTGGGGAAAGGGGGAAGGGGGGTATGTGGTGTGTTGGGCTCCACATGGAACATGCGGTACCCCATGCCCTCCATGGCGTAGAGATAGGGCAGGGACTGCTGGGGTTTATGCATTCTGTGATAGTAGAGGGAGGGAGTGGGGAAAGGGGGAAGGGGGGTATGTGGTGTGTTGGGCTCCACATGGAACATGCGGTACCCCATGCCCTCCATGGCGTAGAGATAGGGCAGAGATTGCTGGGGTTTGTGCATTCTGTAATCGGTGAGGGAAATAAAGGGGCAGGCGCACAGGAGGGCAAGATGGAAGGGGGGGTTGTGTGAGTAGCACAGCGGGTTGGGCTCCACATGGAACATGCGGTACCCCATGCCCTCCATGGCGTACAGGTAGGGCAGGGACTGCTGGGGCTTGTGCATGCTGTAGTGAAACGGGAAACGGGGAGGTGGGGGAGGGAGGACAGCGGGTTGTATCAGCAGGTGGCTTCACGTGCAACATGCAGTACCCCATGCCCTCCATTTATCACCAGCTTCGCACTTCTTATGAGCGTGTGTGATGTGAAGACAAGAGGATACAATCACTCAGTAGAACTTCACGCGTGAAACTCCACCAGCAGTTGCCCAAACAGCAGATTTTTCCCATTCACCAGAAATTTACTCACTAGAAATTCACAAGATGTGACAGAGACAAGATGTGTGAAGACAAGAGGATACAATCACTCACTAGAGATTCACAAGATGATACAGTCACTCACGCGTGAAACTCCACCAGCAGTTGCCCAAACAGCAGGTTCCCCCCATTGATCACCAGCTTCGCATCCCTTATGAGTGAGTGTATGTGCTTGTCTGTGTGTGAACACAACAAGTGATTACAGAGACTCACGCATGAAACTCCACCAGCAGTTGACCAAACAGCAGGTTCCCCCCATTGATCACCAGCTTTGCATCCCCCCTCCCCCTCCTCTTCCCCTCCTTCTCCTCCTCCGTCAACGCCCCTCCCTCCTTCCTCCTCCTCTCCACAAACTCCTCAGTCTCCCTCTTCATCCCCATTATAAACTCCTCCTCACACCCTTCACAGTCCATTTTCAACACATCCACATACTCATGCCCCAGTTTCTCCATCGCCTCTTGCAAAGTCATAAAGGTAATCCCGGGGTTTTTTTCCCGGAAATTCTCGAGGCTGGCTGCGCCGGCGATGGCGATTTCATTGAAGTGGAGGAAGGGGAGGGCGTGCATGCGAGCAGTGGCGTTGGCGGAGAGGAAAGGGTCGAAGGTGAATGGCTTGGTGTGCAGCACAGCGCCGATGGCCTGTTCAAAGTCATACTGCTCGTTGCTGCCCACACTGGGAGGAGGGGAGAAGGGGAGGGGGGTGGAGTGGAGTTGAGGGTGTGTCAAGGACTTGTCAGGCATCTCAAGAGGAGAGCAGCGCCGATGGCTTGCTCAAAGTCATACTGCTCGTTGCTGCCCACACTGAGAGGGGGAAGAGGGGGAGGGGGAGTGGCTGAAGGGGAGTGTGGAGAGCAGCGCAAATGGCTTGCTCAAAGCCATACCGTTCGTTCATGTCGACACTGGGAGGAGAGGGAGGGAGGAAGTGGGGGGGGGGGGGGTTGGGGGGTGGGATGGGGAGGGCCGATCGGGTTTCTCTTACCCTGTCGGGCTGACAGGGTTTTTCTTACCTGTAACCTACAGAGCAGCGGTGTTCGAGTCGAGTCGATAAGAACGAAAGGACACGCCACACTGCTTACCTGTATACGACAGGCTTTTCTCGAATCGCAGTTGGTAGCATGCATACCCACTGCATGGGATAGCAAGGTGGGATGGGCGCAGGGGAGGAAAGTGGGGGAAGGTAGGGGGTGGGAAGGGGAGGCAGGGGAGGGGAGAGGAGGGGAGAGGAGTTGAGAGGAGGGAGAGAGCGAAAGTGTTAGAAGGCACTCTCTAACAGAGTGAGAGTGGCAGAAGGCGCAGCCACTAAAGTGGAGAGCAAGATGAGGTGGAATCGCAGGGAGAAGTTGGAAGAAATGGGGGCGGAGGCACACCCACTGCAGTGGATAGCACGGTGGGATGGGGGCAGGGGAGGAAGGTGGAGGTAGGATGGGGGTGGGGATAGGAAGGTGGGCGGAGGTGGGGCAAAGGCAGGGGAGGGGAGAGGAAGGGGAGAGGGAGAAGGTTAGATGGCAGCAGCCACACTCACTGTTTTTTGCTTCTTCACATCCTTTCCCCTGCTTACCTTCCCCTTTTTTCCCCATCTTCCGCACCTTCCTTTCTACCTCTCCCCAAACTTCCCCTCCTCCTCACCCCCTCGTCACCCCGTGAGCCCACTCGCTCCATGGCCGAACAAGGGAAAGTGGGCATGAGAACAGACAGCAGCAGGGGAGAAAACCCAGCCATTCACCTCCCCACCATCCCCAATCCCACAGCATCGTTCCAATTCTCTCACCTTTCCCCCAACCCCCCATCTGCCCACTCGCTCCTCTGCCGAGAAAGGGTAAGTGGGCATGAGCACAGACAGTAGCAGCAACGGCAGAGAGGGGAAAACCCAGTATGTGGGCATAACTGGAGAAACCCAACCCAGCCATTCACTCACTCACCTTCACCCCGTCTCCCCACGCGCCTACTCGCTCCTCTGCCGGGCACGGGTACTTGGGCATGAGCACCAACAGCAGCAGCGACGGCAGAGAGGGGAAAACCCAGTATGTGGGTATAACTGGATGAAGCCAATCCAACCGTTCACTCACTCACCTTTCCCCCATCCCCCCATGCGCCCACTCTCTCCTCTGCTGGACACGGGTATGTGGGCATGAGCACGGACAGCAGCAGCGACGGCAGGTCGGTTGCATCCATGGGCCACTGATCCCCATCATGAGCTGCCTTCCTTCTGTCTACATCAGCCTGGGGGGACGTGGGATGGGAGGGGAGGGAGGGGGGGGGAGGGGAAGAAGGGACAGTTGGTGGGATCAGTCGTAGCAGCAACGGCAGGTCGGTTGCATCCATGGGCCACTGATCCCCGTCATGAGCTTCCTTCCTTCTGTCTACATCAGCCTGTGGGAAGGGATGGCGGGAGGGGTGTGGGGTGGAAATGGGGAGCAGCAACGCACAGATGGCAGGTCGTGTGCGTCCATGGGCCACTGATCCCCGTTATAAGCTGCCTTCCTTCTGTCTATATCAGCCTGGAACGGAAAGGGGATGAGGAAGGGATGGGAGGGGGGGATGGGAGCAGCAAAGCAGCGACGGCAGGTTGTGTGCGTCCATGGGCCACTGATCCCCGTTATAAGCTGCCTTCCTTCTGACTATATCAGCCTGGGCTGGGGGGACGGGAGATGGGGGACGGGGGACAGGGAACGGGGGACGGGGGACAGGGGACAGGGAACGGGGGACGGGGGACAGGGGACAGGGAACGGGGGACGGGGAACGGGGGACGGGGGATGGGGGAGGGATGGGGGATGGGAGCAGAAAGGCACAGATGGCAGGTCGTGGGCGTCCATGGGCCACTGATCCCCGTTATGAGCTGCCTTCCTACGCTCTGTATCAGCCTGGGGGAACGGGAGACGGGGGACAGAGGAGGGATGGGGGATGGGAGCAGCAGCGATGGCAGGTCGTGGGCGTCCATGGGCCACTGATCCCCGTCGTGCGCTGCCTTCCTTCTGTCTACATCAGCCTGGGGGGACGGGGTGGGGCGGGGTGGGTGGGGGGGAGAGGATCGGGAGCAGCAAAGCAGAGATGGCAAGCTGCATGTACCCATGGGCCATGAATCCCCGTTATGAGCCTATTCTCTGGTCTATTTAATCCTGCGGGAAAAATATCATGATGGACGGGCGGGTGGTGGGGCGTGGGGGGGTGGGTGGGGGGCTGGGAATGCGGGGAAATATTTTGGGGGTTGGAAAAAGTCCACTCGTTCTAATTAGTTCCATAACCCACTCCATATTTTCAAAAATAACTAATAACCAATAAAACGTGTTCTTCTTCATCATCGTCTTCATTTCGGATTTGTTGTTAATGGAACCTGAAAGTGGCTGCATTGCGCTATTTTTCATCCCGTCCACTGTAAGCCATGCTGCGCCCACTGTAAGCAATGTTCCGCCCACGGTAAGCAATGTTCCGCCCACGGTAAGCAATGTTCCGCCCACGGTAAGCAGTGTTGCGCCCACTGTAAGCAATGTTCCACCCACTGCAAGCAATGCTGTGCCCACTGTAAGCAATGTTCTGCCCACGGTAAGCTATTCCGTCTCATCACGTACCCAGTAAGCAGCCTCGGCTCGACACAGCGACCACGCAATGGCAACGCCATTAACGACTTCAGCTTGTAACGCGGATGCGGCAGGATCGGTAGGGCTTCGAGGCGCCTTAACATTCAATGACGAAGCGCCATCAAAAGCGGCATCGGAAGCGGCAACATCGGTCGAAAGTGTTTGGATTGGTTGGAATATTAGCAGCAGTGGTGTGCCGAGCAAGAGAATGGCGAAGGCAACGACTAAGTACGGCTTTAATTTCTCAAATAGCTTTTCATTTTGGTGCAAGAAGTCGGAGGACGAGCCGCGGACGACGATATACGACATGGCGGTCCGTGGCTTCGCGAAATGCGACAAAGTGACGGAAAGTTACGACTTTGAGAGATAGTACTAGGGCAGATTACGAGTAACAAAATGCGGTAGCCGGCAAACGGACAGCTGCTCAGGAGAAGCTTTTAAACGGATACGGACCGCTTGACTCGTCAGAGAAGTGTTACGACATTCTGATGGTCTAGATCGCCGGTATTGCTGTAAAAGGATACAATACCCATACGGATTAGATAACGCGATACTGTGGTCTATACTACTAATGCCACCGAGCACTGAAGATAGAAACGAAAGCCACGGCGAGGTGCGTGCGGAGCGGAGAGGCGGAACGATGCGGCGGACAGAAAATAAGGACTATTCGCAGCGCAGTTGCTGTCCTTCAGTGTTGTTGGCTTGACAGTCAACGGTCGGGAATTCTGACGGGACCAGTTTGTATGAGAGTGCGCAGCCATGGTGACATCCTCGTTACAAAAAAAGCGTGAGTGGTATTACCTGGGTTGGATACAAGACATGATCATGTGGGGGGTTTCGGAATAAGATAAAGAAAATGCATATCAATGAAAAAATATTACAATTGGAACGTCCTCTCACACCAAGCAAAAAGCCTTACGACTGCACCAAATGCCAGAAGATGGACTTCTGCACCAGGGCCTATTTTTCAAGGGTAAAACACACTGATTACACTTACCAGCGGCCAGTTTTCAGAGGTTACCCTGATTTTGCAAGCCCATGTTGTTTGTTACCCTTTCTGCAAAAGTGTACACATATAGAATAGGCTGATTTTGCCAGTGTGTTGTGAATTTCAGCCTTACGAGACAGGGTGCGGGAAAAAATGCACTGAACCAGAAAGCGATGGACTGTTGAAATCTGTTTTTTTTGTCGCATCTCTACTCCCAGATCTACCCCACATTTCGCGCTTCTCCCAACCCAGCCCTGCTCCCCAAGCGTCAGTTTCCTCTGCCAGCCCAACTCGCCCCATTCTCTTCGCCTCCCCGAGCCTCATTCATCACTTCCCTTCGGCTCTTCCCCCCTCCCACCCCGGCCCCACTCCCAATGTTTCCTTCGGCTCCCCCAACCCCATTTCCCCCATTTCCTTTGCCCCACTCCCACCCTCCCATTTCCCTGTATTTCACAGCCCCACTTCCCACATTCCCCCCAAATCTCCCAGCCCCTCTTCCCTCGTCTTCCCCGCCGCACCCAATCCCAACCCCTCGCAATGTTTTTGCCTGTGTTGTAGGGCGCCGCGGGGTTTCGCATCAAGCTAACAATGCGATTGTAACATTCGAGTAACTTTGGGAATATTTCACCCTTACACAACCAGGGTGTTATTTCACATCATTAGATTTACCCTGATTTTGACAGGGTGCAAAATTAAGTATCCTGGCCGACAGGGTGACGTCAGCCATGGACCCTGATTCCCAAGGATGCTCATAAACCAATTTTGGGCCCTGTTCTGCACCAACCATTTTCGCATTTTGAACCAGAAACCAAACACTGTGAGAATCATGAGTCTTGAAGGATTTTATAGTGACTTATTGCTCCTCAAATGAAACTATGCAGAGCAAAGCTTACAACGAGTTCCAACTCTTGTAATGGTGGGTAGGTTTGGGGTCGCAGAATGTGAAACAGACATGTATTATTTAGAGTTTGGATTGTACAAGATGCAGGAAGAGCCAAACCAAGGAAGGGCTGATTTTTTTGTGGAAGATTAAAGCCAGGATCTCAAGTAGTTTGGCTGTTTTGCAGTTAGTGAATTGCGCTAAGCTGTGATTGGCTGACGAGGTAGAGTATTTGACGAGAGTTGAAACGAGGGATGCGAAGCTAACAAATATCGCAGGCTGCTTCTGAACCACCTAGGCACAGAAATCTGGTTGGGTTCCGAAGCTCATTTCCCAGCAATGTGTCTCAGCTGCCGAAAAATCTAATGTACAGCAATTTGTTTTGCAATTGAGATTCACGGGCAAAACGGAAATCTGTCGCACACTGACCCTCCAACCCAACCACTCGATTTCGCCTACACTGTTACGAATAGTAACATTTGATATTACTGTGCACTCCTCACCGCAGCAAAGAGAAGCACGCAGTAACGAGAATGAACGCGAAGCGTCAGACGGTTGGAATTGACTCGAAGCGTCAGACAGTTGGGACGCATCTGGACCGTCGGAGCAGACGGCATCGGGCAGCGGCAGGCAAGGTGGTTTTGGCGGGAACAGTTACGAAACTGTACGCGCCGCACGGTTGGGAATGCATTTGAATAAGGGAATGTACCCCTTAGAGTACATGACTAGTTAGGTCTTTTCGTATTCCATTGTACTCTTATTTATATCACCTTGTTTGCATGTTTTATTTATCTCAAAGCATTTTACATTCACTCTGCTATTGAGGTCAAGGGCCCACCAAACCATCTCACTGCGTGCGAACCTTCCCGGGTAGATCCTGGGCTATGATCAACTTCTGATCGCAGCATGGTATGAGAGCGGCTCGGGAATCCTTCGCACTGCCACTCCCGAAAATTGCGACATTCGGAAAGTGGCGTCCGGCACACGTTCACGAGTGAAGATGGCCGGAGGATCTGGTGGTCAGACTAATCAAACGGCTGAAGCGCAACCCAACCCGGCTGCGACAAGCGAGAACACGACGACAATCAACTCCGAAGTTCTCGCACAACTTCTTCAGCGACTCACCAGCTTGGAGCAAGGGCTCCAAACATTGCGGAATGGCGATGCGGGAACATCCTCGCAACCCTCTCAACCGGCCCCGACTGGCCAGAACGCCACCCCGCAAACTTTCTCCCTCGACACCAATGGCTCAACCCCCAAGGCTCCCCGTCCCAGTGAAGAGGCAATTCTCTCCGCTCAATCAAGGTTTCTCAGCATATCAAAAATAAAGACAAGTACCTGTTTTGACGGCAGAGACTTTTACACCTGGAGCTTCGAGCTGGAGCTCCTGCTTCAGAACGCCCAGATCTTCCACTATTTCGACGGGAGCTACGCGGAGCCTGCTGAGGACACCGACGACGCCAAGGCGCGGTATTACAACGAGTCGCTGATGGCGTACGGGGTGCTCCTGCGGAATATGTCGGCGGCGGAGCAGCTCAACATTCGTTCATACAAAACCACAGCAGGTCCAGCCCTTAACGCCTGGCGGCACCTGACAGGAGTCTACCAGCCCAAGGACTCTGTCTCTTCGAGCCGACTACTCCAGGAACTCCTGGAAACTAAGATGACCGCAGGGGAGAAGGTCAACAATTACCTTAACCGCTGTCGGAGCCTTCGCGATCAAATCGTGAAGTTGGGAAGCACGATTTCAGAAGAAATCTTCGTCAACATCGTGCTTCAAGGGCTCGGCCCAGAGTGGCGGCCCTGCAAGGCGCTTCTCCGACAGCAGGGGGTCATCTCGGAGGCCGCCCTTTGCAACGCCCTTCTCGTCGAACAAAGGGATATGGACCAGCAGCGACCAGCGCCGCGACGAGAACGCGAACGGCTCGCCTTCTACGCCGACAACACCGAAGAGCGAAAGCCACGGCGCCTCTACTGCAAGATCTGCAGAAATTTCGGGCATCTGGCGGATCGATGCAAGAACCGATCTCGCCCTCGCCAGACCAATCCGAGCACCTGGTCCGGCCGTCAAGACGCACGAGGCGACGTGCGTCCAGCCCAAGGGTATCAGCCCCCTCTCGCGCGCAACCTGAACCCAGCGGTTCAGCATCAGCAGCAGCAGCCGTCCTCGACTGCCCTAGTTCGCAACGTCATGAGCAGCATGGCCATGACAGGCGAGTCGCGTCGTCGCCGCGTTCGCTCACCGTCACCTGAGCCGGCACCGCACCCAATTGGCGCGTTCACCAACAACAACCCGTTTAGTCCGCGCCGCGACTTCACCGACGACGACGACCAGGACTGGAATCTTCCAGTCCCGCTGCTTGAAAGTCCCCCGCACGTACCTGATATGCGGGTGGCGCCACTCGATTGGCTCACGCGAGAACAACTTTTGAAGTTCGACACTCCGCACATCGTCACGCCGCGATTGGCGCTGCTCGCACGTGACGACAACAAGCGCTACAACACCTGGTACCTGGACAGCTGCTGCGGCCAGCATATGGTGGGCTCCGAGCGTTACATATCCAACGCCGTCGCCACCCCTGCCGTCACTTACGTCACTGTGGCGAACAACACGCGCCTGCGCGCAAGCGCGCAAGGCATCGTCGTGCTCAAGGCACGCGGGAGCCGCACGCACATCACGCTCAACGATGTGCTGATCGTCCAGAACCTGCGCTTCAACCTTCTGTCCGCCGCACAGCTCATGGATTGCGGCGTCGACCTCAGCACGGACCGCGAAACGCGAGATATCCTGCTGCACTACGAAGCGCGCAACTTCCCCCGCAGGCAGATCGGACGAGCACACTCCGACAATGGGGTGTACGTCCTGGATTTCGACATCCCCGACTGCAGCGGCGACTCGCACGAGCTGATTGACCTCGTGCCACTACGCTTCGAGCACATCCACCGCAGGGACTGGAAGCACCCTGACGGCAGGCCGTGGGTGCCGCATCATCCTCACCCACGCGAAACGGCGTTACACAACCCTAACCCCGACGGCATATGCAGGGATTGCCACACGCCGACGACCTCAACAAGCGCGATTGCGGGCCGCGGACTCGCCGCCATCGCTGAAGCAGAGCGCCACGCGCCACCAGAAGAAGGGATGTCGCAGCTCGAGGTCGAGGAGACTACTCGCCGCGTGTTCGGCACCGACCAAAGCCCCCACGCTGGACCTCCCTCCCAGCGGCTCGACAACATCCTGCGCGGACAACGCCGCGGAAGCTTGGACTCACGAGGAGTTCCGCGCCCCTACACTCTCGAGGAATTCCGAAAGGTGTACCCTCATCGGCTCGACCCCTCGGCGAAACTCACCGTGGAGCAAGAGGAAGAACTGGCGCGCCGCGAAGCCGAGGAGCTTCGCCAGCAAAGCCTCGCGGAAGCACGCGGGACCTTCGCTTGCGC